CTCCGCACCTCCCGGGTCTACAGACCAGGAAGACGCGGAGCAAAGTCATGGAGGAGCTCGCGCAGCGGGGCAGCCCAGGCACGCCTGGGCTGCCCCGCTGCCCGAGCCCCTCCGCGGCTTTGCTCCGCGTCTTCCTGGTCTGCAGACCAGGGAGATGCAGAGAAAGCCCCGGAGTACACGGGCGGCAGGACCGCGAGGTCCCGCAGTTCATGTCCTCTGGGGCAAGCTCTGTTCGTAACTGCAGATCCGACATAAGTCGGATCCGCGTAAGTCGGGGACTGCCTGTATTGAATATTTAGTTTTTAGTGTATATTTAAAAAAACCTAAGCAAGTGGGAAATTATCCTTTTTTTAATTCTGCTTTAATCCTACTTTTCCTTGAAGTGAAGCCTTCCCCAGAAGACCAACCCTCACAATTTCAGTTAGGTTTATGCATGGGGGTCTAGTGTAAATGAGCTTGGTGGTTCTATTGTGGTACTCATTGAACCACACTCCATAGTACTAACATTATTCAGTGGGGCACTTTGTGTTGTTATTCCCAGAACTACGGTATAAAGATAGGACTGTATTTTAGGTCAGGATGGACAAAGCTGTGTGTGGGAGAATTTGGAACTGTGTCTATCTGGCGCTGCAAGTTTTTCATTTTCCTGCCTATCAAAATAATAAACTTAGATGTGTTAAGGAGACATTTATTACTAGTAAATTTCATATGAACGTCAGGGTAATTACCTCCACACCTGTAGGGGTAAAATCCTCAAACAAGCTATAAAATACTATTTTTTTTTAATACTACTTGTCTATTTCAAGGATTTCCCATTCCAGATGATGTTCTTGCGTTTAAAAACTCTTTCAAGCAGCTGCGTCATAACGCTCTGTATACAAGCGTATCTCCTGTTTTAACATGCATGAGGAGGTTTTATCTTTTGTGACGTTTATCTTCCAAGATCTAATCGTGGCCATATTTTAAATGTAAGAATGTTTCCTTTTCTTTTTTTAAATTATAATAATGATGGGTTGGTGAGAACAGAATATTAATCAGAGCCTACATGGAAACTGTTGTCTATCCTAAGGCTGAGTATACACCACTTCATGGATATTTGAGCATTCAACAGTGCCCTAGAATTGGCTGGACTCATGCTCTGAGGTTGGATAGCAACCTCAGAATGTTCTTTTTTTTCATTGGAATGGCTCTGATACTGTTCTTTCTTGTTCCCTGAAAACTGCTTCCTCCAGATACTTGGCTTAGGTTGAAATTCAACAGGAGACTGGTCAGAAGGAGTATGTCCTGTTTCTTCAACTACCATGGAACAGAATTTAACTATTTATAGAGAAAGCACTAAATTTTACCTGTTGTTAACAAAACCTTGTGGTCAGAGGCCAAAGGCTGCTGGCCAGTTTAAAAGAAATGTTCTGGACACTGCCTGGCATAGGACAGTGGTCAAGAGATGTGCACAAATTGCATTTTTTCACATCTGTCAGCAAGGTCTAAAGCCAAGCAGAAATTATTAGAAGAAACATCAGACAGTGATATGTAACGTCAGACTGCAGAGTTGTTACAATATAGTCTTCTTAGTGATCTTTCAAGAAAAAAGGTGAAAATTGTCAACAAGTGTCTTTGTTGCTAATGGTATAACGACTTCTTGTTTGAGAGAAATTGGCTTCCTGCAACAACAAGGTGCTAACTGTCTGAGTCAAGAAAAGACTAAGAAAAAGAAAGAAGAAAAAAACTGGGAAATTTAATGCCATACAAAACAAGCACTAATTTAAAACATTTCTTCCTCTGTGGAAAGGTCTCAGAGGGGTAGCCGTGTTCATGTGTAACTTTAATAAAAACTAGTGAGTGGAGAAAAAAGGGGGACCCTTAAATAGAAAAAGGAGTAAAAAGAAAAAAATACGTGTCAATTGTAATGCTGGTGCTAATGAGACTAATTGAGTGGGCTGGAAGTGTCCCACACTTAGCTTTTGATGTCAATGGTGTGTTGAACATAAGGAAACTTTATAATGGGCCATCCAGTTCAAGTCTTGATGTAAAATACTGTTTAATTGGTTAACTAGTTAAACATATTGTTTAACTGGTTAATCCATTAATAGGAGGGAGCGGGGAGGAGGGGGGCACTCCAACTTGTTGGGAGCAGCCTCCCCTCCCGCTCCCCGGCTATAGGCAAGGGCTGCTCTAGCTGAGCCAGAGCAGTCCCTGCCTGAGGGGTGCCTGGGTCCACCACAGGCAGGAGCTGCTCCAGAACAGCCTCCTGCCTGGGGCAGGCAGGGAGCTGCTCTATCCCCACTGGTAACTTGTTAAACATTCACATCCCTAACTGCCATTAATATTAGTAGCCAGTGATCTCAGTGGCTTCAATGAGACTGCTAATCTAATTACCTCTGTGAATGAGTGTTTGATAGGCCGTGTTCTCAACTCCAAGGGAAAAAATATGGAAAAAAATTCTACAATTCTAAATATACTGAGAAGCCTCATCAGATTCTATCAGCTTGGTTTAAACAAGAAAGCAGGCCAGAAAGAGAAAACTGCCTCTCTAGTTACTCAAGGACTTCTTGGACCTGCATTATCAGATTCCTCATCTGCAAATGATCATGATGGATAGTTCAGGCCCAGAGCAGCTGGATGCGATCTGTTTGAGTTACAAGCCTGTTCTTTGCAGACTGCTGCATGCTTCTTTTTTTTGGCATTTACAATGAATAGGGGAAGGCCTGTTTTTGTTCTGTCTCTTTTTCGTCTGCAGGGTAGAAGAGAAGAATCCTGAGTTCTTCATTAGTTACGTGACTGGAAAATTATATTTTCATGCAGGTACTCTGCAGTCTCTAATTTACCAAATGGTCAAAATCCTGCATAGTTTCAGGTGACGTTTTGACTTGTGACTGTCACAACAGTGATTAAAAAGGAAGTTGAGTTGGGGAAGTGGTGATAATTGCATTTTTCTGTTTCCTGCTGGCATGGCACAGACTACTATCCTACCGAGATGATGTGTTAATATAGTTAGACCTCGTTGCGTAACATATTAGGCCTGAGTGTGCATTCATTTCATCTTCTACTTTGTGTCTTGAACTCTTTTCCAAAATTGCAGTACCAGAAACTGTATGTTTTTAATTTATCACATAAACAGTATATTGCTTCAGTTTTAAGGCAGTTTATACCTCTCTCCTTACACATGGAGTAACTTAAACTGATCTTTTTGCATGGGACCAACTATAATATATGTTCAGTACATGTATGAAATGAGGGTGGAAAAGAAGATTGGAAAAAGCATCACATGTTCTATTTTACAGCAGTAAACCCATCTTCTATTGATGTATGTACTTAATTCCTGACTGTTCCACTTAGAAAAAGAATGTAATAGCTGCACCATTACTGCAAATATATAGAAACATGTTTTTCAGTACAAATTAATGCTAGAAAAATTGTTTAGAGCAAGCTGTTTCATAGTGCCCTGCCACTGTGCCTCAATTATAACCTGAAGGCATGAGAAGGTAGTTCAGTTTCTGTACCCATAGGCTTCTCTGTTGGGAGCTGGGAAGAATGCTACTTGTACTAGTGGCATTGTGATAAGAACACCTGTTCACTAGAAACTGGACTGCAGCCATCAGCTCATTTCACACAGGATAGCAAACAGCCATCAGATGGTCAGGACTGTAAGTCATAGTTGACATGGACCAGATTTAAATCAATGACTTATTAGCAATTCTATGAAACACTAAGTCCCATTAAGAAGTGTTATTTTTAACAATCTAGTTTTCAGTAAAGAGCAAGACACAAAAGGCATTGAGAATTCTTCCTTGCTGGTTTGCTTTCATAATTGTGTGTATTTGTTTAAAATACAAACATTGACTTTTTTGCAGTCTCACTTCAGTCCCTAGGGCCAGGATGCCACATTACAAAAAGCATTAGCCCATTTGGCAGTTTGAGCAGAGAGGTAAAAGAATGAACAGGCTTGGATTCTGAACTAGGTTCTCACCATATTATATGATGTAGAAACTCTCTGTCCAGAACTCTCTGGTCTGGAAACATCCATTATCTGGAATGGTTTTAGTTAGCCAGATGTCTACTTTTCATGAGTGTGGCCAAGTTTCCCATGGTCAAAAGTTTGACGACAGCCACCAGTCCTATCTCTCAGTTTTCTGTGCTATCATTTAACTGTAATTTACCCCAAACATCCTCAAACAGTCCAGTAAGCAGTGGTAGTGTTGGTAATGCTGCTAGATAATATTGACCTCACGTGGTCTGGAAAATTCCCTGGTTCAGAACTGGTCAAGAGAGTTTCAACCTGTACCTGGAGGTTCTATTTCATGTGTGTTAGTGGGCCAATAGGTGGCCCTTTCCTCTTCCTGCTTGGGTTCAGTAAACCACTTAAGCCTGTATATAAAGTTAATCCTATGCTTAGGAGTTTTGTTGACTACAGATAGATATTGAGTACATGCACAAGTGCTTTTCTGCTGAATGGGGGCCCTGTAATTCTGTCAGTCATGTAACCTTTGTGATCAGTAAATTATACTTTACTTTTTAAAACATTTTTCTATTGCTCATAAAACTGAAATGTGGGGATTTTGAGCCTGTGATAAAATCTTCACTTAACTTCTAAATGCGAATAAATGTCTCTGTAGCCCGACCTATCCCCACACAGTCATCTGTGTGCCCAGTAATGGGACCAGTGGAGAGAAATGTGCAGAGGAGACTCTACAAAACTTTTGCAAGTAGCAATTTAGAGCTTTATAAACAGAATACTTTGTAACAAGATATGGGTTGTGACATCCTGCTAAATGAAGATGGAATGATAATTAAAACCCCCCACTGTTTTTTCTTCTTTTTGTGCAGGGACCTGAATTGATGAATAAATATGTTGGTGAATCTGAACGAGCAGTCAGAGAGGTAAGAAGCTGCGAATTGCAAGTAAAGGACCACTTGCATGTTGTGCTGGATGTATGCTCCTTTTTCAAACTCTCCTGTGATGGTGATACATTGTCTGGTTAAATTTAAGCTTTCATAAAACAAAGAGATTCTGAAAAGAAATGAAGTTTTGTTTTTGTGATTTTTGTTTCCTTTTTGGTTGCTTCTTTACTTTCTGTTTTTAGAAAATTAATGGTGGTGAGTCAAAGTCAGGCTTATAATGCAAGTTGCTGTTGAAGTTAGATTATATAGTATGATGTAACTTATCTACACAGTAAGTGCACTTTTTAAAAAAGAAAGCTACAAGATATTATTCTTTGCCTTTTAGCTTTTGGAGTTCAAAATGCATACATTTTGTGTGGGAATTCCTCACACCCTGGTAAATTATTTTATTGATGTTTCTCTAGATCTTCAGGAAAGCCAGAGCTGTGTCACCTTCAGTCCTTTTCTTTGATGAAATAGATGCCTTGGCCGTTGAAAGAGGGAGGTAAGGAATACTTTTACTAAAATATTCAAGGTTCATTTTTGTTCTGATAGTGACTTTAAAAAATTGATTTGTTAAGATCCCAGGTTTATTGTCTGGGAGGGGAGGGGCTGTGGAATGCAGAGTGATGTGATGTCACACTGTGGTTCTTCAGGAATAACTTTTTTATAGGTATAGTGAGAGAATTTTTAAAAAGGTGCTTTTTGTATAGATGAGCAATAGCGCTAGCAATCTGTTTATAACATTCTGCTAAATAACTAAACCAAAGGGAGTTCAGAAGTTGTGCTAAAGAAGAATAGTTTTCAGTTGTAACTTATTTCCTTACTTCGGTAGAAACAGAGTATTTTTTCAAATGTATTTACTTCCTCTTATAATTTAGGCCTGTGCAATTAGATTTTAGTTTAAATTTTTAATTTTTTTTCTTATTAGTGGCTAATGTGGTACTTGTTACATGTCACTGCCTCCTTTTTCATGAAAATTCAGTCAGCTTACCTGGGAGGTACTTTTCATTAGCGCCATTCTAGTTCCAAGTGTTTTAAATAAGGCCTAGTCTATCCATTAAAAATTACATGGATACAGCTATTTTGCTTAGGAGTTTGTTTGTGTAGAGGGGGAAACACACCCCTAGTGGGAAACCCCAGGGATGCAGACATGGTGACAGAACAGGTTTTCTGTCAGCATAGGTAACATTGTTCAGGTAGGTAGTGGCCTTTCTGTTGGCATAAGCTGCATTTGTTCTAGGGACTCTGTCAATAGTGGCATAGGTTCTCTGACTTCAGGGAGAGAAATAGCAGACTCTGTATCAATACCAGTTTCTGGTGTACTGTAGCGGGTACTAGCAAAATGTAAAGACAAATATAAAAGATGTCAGTGTGACTGTTCAGCAACTTCAAGAAATCATTTAATGTGTGGTGGCAACTTGTGTTTAATACAAGTGTATTCTAAATTCATTTACAAATATATCCTCATCTGAAATGTCAAAAGTTAACACATAGCACAATGCGTCACCCTCTGTGTATAATTTCTGCAATTAGAAAGCTTATAAACTTTCTAGAAATATTAACAGTATGATTAGAAAAGGATTAGAATCACCAGTCCACGTAATTCAATAGACATTGCAAAAATAGATTTTTGGAAGCAAGTCAAAATAATAAATCTATGCATGGTAGAAATCTTAATATATTTAATATTTAGAAACGCTACTTCAGTAAGGAAAACCTTTTTCAGTCTTCACCCTGAGGCTCTGAGGTTTTCTGGAATCTTTAGGGGGTAAATAACCCAGCTTTCCTTACCTGCAAGAGGGAAAAATCGCCCTGGGACAGCTTACTGAAGTATGTGGTATGACCTGCTGTAGTCATGTTGTATTGGAGACATCTGGTTTTGGAGCTTTAAAAAGAACAGGGTGGGACACTCGAATATTTCATTGTCAAATCTGAAGCAGATGCTAGGTAAAATATGTAGCAGAGTTCTCATAAAATTAATCTGAAATTAAACAATGGAGGAAAGCAGACAAGGCACTTATTGGAAAAGGCCTGCTTTTACAGTCTGATTTTGCACAGTAGGAATTTGCAAATGCTTTAGGGATGCTAACGATTTGCAGCCTCTGGAGATCCATTTCCTATACTGTTACTAACCAGATGGAAGGAAACACCTGTTTATGTTTACGTAAACAGGGTACATCTACACAGCAGCGTTATTTCGGAATAACTGACTTTATTCTGAAATAACAAAGAGCGCGTCTACACTTCAAGCCATTCTTTAGAAACAGTGGTGAGCTGGAGGACTTCTTACTCGGACTGCTGTAACCCTAATTTTTTGAGGAGTAAGGGAAGTCAAAGGAAGAGTATTCTTCCTTCGACTTCCTGCTATGTAGACAGCACCAAAAGCCGAATTAAGCTATTTCAATTTCAGCTACACAACTGTAAGGATTCTCCCTATCTTTTTTTTTTCCATGACAGATATAGGAAATCATAAACTTTTTTTTTTGCATAGTTAAAAATAGTATCCACGAATGGAATAATATTTAAGTTTTTTTAACTAATCCTTACACTGCACTTAATTAGTGGTGTTCTCAGTTTGTAGATAAGAAAATTAAGACAGAATGACTGATGTGACTGAGGCCAAAAAACAAGAGGCACTGTTAAATTGGGGATTGGAACTGGCTTCCATCCCTTTATTGAGACTATTAAACAATTGCAACAGAGTGCTGTATAATGCTCCTTATTAAGACTCCATTACCTTTACAAAATGTACCAAAAAACAAATGCAGTTCATGGTATATAGAGAATTAACAAAGACAAATGAAACAAAACTATAGGAGTGGCCCTTAGAAATCTGTCTTTTGCCTTTAATAGCCATGCATCACATGGGAGCATTGAAAGCACTGAGGTAACATTACCCATTTGTCTCATATAAACGTTCCAAAATTTTGAGTTTTAATTCTCCCCTTGTCAGACAAATGAACAATTTTGTAAAAACAAAAGAAAAAAAAAGGAAAAAAAATTATGCAGCACTTTAAAGACTAATAAGATAGTTTATTAGGTGATCAGCTTTTGTGGGGCAGACCCAGTTCTTCAGATCATTCAGATCCTTTTGTTTTACCAAGATCAGACTAACATGGCTTCCTCTCTATTACTCTAGAACAATTTTGTGATTCAGTGCCAGGTTTTCATTTATATGTCTTCGGTTTGTTAGAAAAAATACTAGAAATTCATAGGTGAAAACTGGCAAAAAGATTATAATCAAAATACAGAGATAGATGGCATTGCATGGTTAATACCGTAAAGATCTGTAGCTCAGGTCCACATTTTTTAAAATACCTTTGTTAATTATCTGGACGGTGTAAACTACACAGTTCATTTTAGATACAGTACTAAATTGGAAGGAGCTGTGAACAACCAGGAAGATCTGGAAATATTAGCCAATAATCAAGAGATTAGAAATATGGACAGAAAATACTAAAATGAGATTTAATTTTCAAAGATGTCATTTTAAACATCTGGGGGAAAATAATTCAATGTAAGTAACAATCACTAGGAGTGAGACATCTGGAAATCAGTAAAGCAAAAGGAACTTGAGGATAATCATGAATGATATAGTAGTTAAAAGGTTTTTTTTCTGCCGGGTGACAGAATTGATGTCATCCATATCAACAGGCTCTCTCAGAGAAGTGGCCAGAGAGAGGGGGTAGGCAAACATTGCAAGCAGATAGTGCAGCCCCCTAGTATATCCATTAGCACATAAGACTGGAAGGAGATAAATCTATAAATATGTAAAGGGTGTAAACAACAAGCCTGGGGAGGAATTACTGAGGACTTTACAAAGGGCTAACAGTAGATATAATGCATTTAAAGTAAGAAAGGGAAAACTGCTGAAAAACACTTTTTAACAATGAAATCTCTTTCGCTATAAATCAGTCAAATGGGAAAGTGGTGGCAGTTTGTTTGGCACATTTCATGCCAAACTAGACAAACCACAAATTAATGTACATCAAGGACTAGATGACATAATAGATGTTTTCTGTCAGTCCATGGTTCTGACTAACTATAGGTTCCACTAGCTACTTACGTTTTTCTCAACTTCTGTGAGATGGAGTTATGACTACTTGCAGAAAAATCTACATTATTAAGGACAGGAACACATGGTTGGTCCAGATACAACAGTGAGCAGGGAATGTTTGTTCCCAAGTAATCCTTTCCCCTTTCAAAGCTAAAAGTAAAAAAGTGCATAGCTGCAGAGAATTATGGGTACTTCTTATTCCTAGGTATCCAGACTATGTAAAACCTAATTCTTCTGACCATTCGAGGTTGCCAACAGGAAATGGCTTAGTAATCAGACTTGAAAGTGATGAATGAGCATGGCCAAATTGAAGAAATCTATTTTCTTTGGAAATGGGACATAGTTTATGTATGTAAAGTTTTGGGCAATAGATTTATTTGTTCCTTTTCGTGTTTTTCTGAAGCAAGGTAACTTTTTCCCCTTAGCGTCAAAATCTTGTAACATAAGCCATAAAGTATTGTAGGCTGGATTGAAAGACACTGTTAAATTGCTTTAAAAAATCAGTACTGTGCTTTATAAAATCAAAGGCTGAGAGAACTATTAGACTGGCAATTATATTTGGGGTGAGGAGAAGGAGTTCTCCTAAATAGCAGCCCATCCAAAGAGTAATATAGCAATGATGTTTTCCCCCTGCCCTCTGTATGTAGATTACATTAAAATGGCTAAATTATGGTGGGAAGTATCAGAGGGGTAGCCGTGTTAGTCTGAATCTACAAAAGCGGTGAGAAGTCCTGTGGCACCTTATAAACTAACAAAAGTGTTGGAGCATAAGCTTCCGTGGGCAAAGACCCACTTCGTCAGTTACATGATGAAGTGGGTCTTTTCCCACGAAAGCTTATACTCCAACACTTCTGTTAGTATATAAGGTGCCACAAGACTCCTCGCCGCTTATGGTGGGAAGATAAATCTATACATTTATAAGCCAGAGTTTTCAAATCTATAGATTTGAAATGGAGCTTGGGTCGCTTAGGGTCTCTAAATCTAGGCACTCTATTGAAATGCCAAAATATTGGTTTGGAATCCTAACTTTAGGCATCCAGGTTTGAAATGTTTTGTCCTTGAGGAATTGAATCTTCTGTTCACAGAGTGTGGCATCTGTGGTTTTAATAATAAGGGCTGTTGTGACTCTTCTGTCTTTAAATCAGAAAATTCTGTCTTTCTGGAAGACATGCTTTAGTACCAACACAGATTGTTGGGCTTGCAGTAGTCGCTTGGTGAAATCTATGGCCTGTATTATGCAAGAGGTCAGATTGATGAAAATGTGGCCTTAAAGAGGCCTTAAAATGTGTGAGCTGGATGGGTGCAGAGTTAATGGGTTAAAGGTACCCAGCAGAGAAATCTTCCTGTGTTGGGTGAATGTCTGCTAGCACCGAGTTTCTGGAGACAGCACAGTCCTATTCCTCTGCTCCCATGACCCATTACTGGTGTGGAAGGGTCGGAGGAAG